CTCGATCGATTGACCTTACAGCGAAGGCCGGAGAGCGCGACGATCCGCGGTGCGGTTCTTATCTATAAGAAATTGGCCTCGCGTGACAGGTGTGATAAGACCAACTGGTGCACGATACGTAGCGTGGACCAGTTAAATGCTGAGCAATTGTACATTTACATGCGAGCGATATCACGAGTGAGAACATTCGAGGTAGCAAAGGCCGTCGAGAATATTCCACCTCGATGAAGGCCAGGGTCAATGTTTGTCGCGAATTATAGCCGAAAGAAATTGGCAGTAAAGATATTTATGTAGCTATAATCGCGTATACTTGCAAAATATTGCCCTTTTAACTCTACCGTAATCTTAAATTTATACGGTTATCAAACCATGCATTGAAATATAGTCTTGAAAGTGATACACTATAAACAAGGTCGGTCGAGGTAACCCAAATCGAATAAAACTCAACTTCGGAATTGGCACAGCGAACTAACCGCTCTAATTCTCTCAGCAGAATTCTAGCGTTTTTTGGCCTTTTGTGCGAAGCAAAATTTAAAATTCAACGTGATCGTAAATCTGAATCAACAAATAAGCTAAATTAAATTCTGTATTTTTATAAATTTTATACGTCAAATTTCTACGTCAGATTGTTCAGCTGACTCGATTTTCATTCAATTCGATTCGATCACAACAAAGTTTGTGCAACAAAATTTGCACAATGCCGAGACTTGATTCTTTTTATTTGATTCTTTTTATTCAGTTACTTCGCTCATCGGATAACTTCATTTGAGTACTTAACAAACTGAAGACATTTTCCCAAACATTATCCTGAGTGTGATATCTAATGGTCGATAACAAGGAGGTGGTTGAGGACGATTTCGTTTCCTCAGTAATGACAGTCGATACGTCGGATTATAGAGTACAGTTTTCCGTTACTGGTCGGGCGAGTTTTTGTCTCGACGTAATTCAATATTGAGCTGGACGTTTCGATTTATATCGTCTTCACGGCTCTACTTCGTGTCGTTATAGCTTTTTTATGTTTTCTGCGGAGAAATTCCTCGAGATCTAATCAAGCTTTTGTAGAGGCTGAGTCATCTTGACGTAGAGTGTCCTCTTTATCGATCGCAGGAACGAAACACTTAATGACATCCGCGAACTTTGCGACGACTCGGTATTGGCGTCGGATATAAGTCTTTGGAAAGGAAAAGCGACAAACCGTCTGGCGAAGTATGAGAAGAACCTGTACAGTTTCTACAAACAGGGCTTGACGGACCTCGGCCAGAAAGTATGGACGTTCTGGAATGCCGTGTTCTACTGTGGCACCATTTACACGACCATCGGTGAGTACGATATTTCTAGCCTCGTAGGATATAATCACCTGTTGACGAGACACCGTTTTTAGCACGTCCAACTTCAGCATTCGCAATATATATGTACATATACACATATTTAAATACTATTTTCTATTACATGTGCACTTCTATTAGCTCAACTGACGTATAAATAAAGCATTAATAAGAAGAATAAAAAATAAAAAAATATCTCTGTATTTGTAACATTGTATGCATATTCATCTTAATTTCGCTCAAAATTGACATTTATTACCTTACATAATTAAAGTTATAAGAAAGTTCTTTTTTTTCCAATAAATATTGAACTTATATAACCCGGCACTCTACGGACCGATTTAAAATACATTCTGAAACGCTTTGAGGGATACGAAACGTATATTTTCTTCGAAAAAAGAGAGACGGATAAGATCTCTTGACGTTCACGTCAAAAAGATGATGAAGTGGATGTATTTGTCGGCTGAACGTCTTCCTCCGAATAAACCGATTTTCGTCCGAGATGTATTTTGGTACACGTCAAGATTGGGGAACGAACACGTTTCAAGAACCTCCGAATAATGACAGAACGCGTTTTTGACGAGCGATTTTGCGGCTGAATCTTCGGGGCTCGCTCATTCCTTCTTTATAACTCGTAAAAAACCTCCAGGGGAATATTCTTTTTACGCTCGCACGCGCTCTTGGCATGGTTCGGTTTATTTTCCTTGCGTTTCTCTTTTCGAGCGAGTGATCGATCACGGCCGCGCGACCAAACGCGACGCGCTGGCCGGAAAAACGCATTTTCGCGAACGTGCATCAGGACGCCGCGTGTGCAGTGCGACGGATTTCAAAATCCATCCGTTGCTTCGAATATGTTAGATACAGAATAGAATTCTGGTAATAAAGACGTCTCGTGCGTGGAATGCAAACCTGTTGGTTGCGACTAACGCAAATTTATTCCTCGCGCTCCGGGACGTCATTGCGTCACCGACGGGACGTGTCTATAGAAAACGATATTTCGCGATATGATGAAAATTGTCATGTTATTGAAAAAGTTAATTGAAGGTGAAATCTCACCGATGGATATATCAGTAACTTTATTATCGCGTTCTCTCGATGTATAAATAGAAAATGACATATTTCGCGAAGAGTGATATAAATTTTCACTGAACTGAAAGAAATAAAGCTGGATTCCTATTGCTGGAGTTACATATTAGTTTGATATAACCTCGAATTAACATATTAATCAATTCATTATTAATTTATTCGATCAATTCGCATTTGACGAATCGAGTTGCCTGGGAAGTGAGATGGCGGCACACAAGGGATCTTACCGCTCTGTACTTGAGATCTTCGTGACTTAAAACTTGATCGTGACTGCGCTAAGAGACTCCCGATGAAATAAAAGACACTTTGTGTGAACTTTCGTGAGCAAATCGCACATGTATTTTCACGTTTGCGACTTTCTAAAGGTCGCCGTTGTATGCCCACGCGGCCACTATTTCGAGTCCTGACATTGCGTAACGGGAAAGGGGAGATGAATAAGACGATCGTAGGAAGACAAGACGCGTCTTTGTCTTCGATTTCGCAATTTCGGGGACTTCCACGAGGAGCGACGTTTCCCTGACCGAATTAAATTAAACGCTCTCCGCGCTTATTCGGCGCCTCGCAGCGCGCAGTAACATCGAGCGGAAGATATCGCGCGGCACAGCATTACCATCAAATACACTTTGCACCGCCGCTGTTCAATTGGCAACTAATCGCTACGACATATATTTGGACGGTTGTATCCGGCGGGCTTTAATTAAAGCTGCGCGGGGAGTTGTCAAATGTTCGAATTAGCATCTTCGAAGTGTTGGTTCGAGATGCGCGTACACATTGACGCACACAGTACTGCGATACTGACACGTTCGGTAAACCAGAATATTATTCGTCATGCTTAATAATGTAGGAACGAGAAAAATTACATGGAAAAAGTCAGTTGAGCACTTCGCGCACCTTCGTGAAACAATCCTGGCGTTGGAAGATCGATTTCCGCGGATGCGGATATTTCAAGGTTGAGTTTCATGCGACGGGGAAACACGTACTTATCAGGCCAGAGAATATTACTTTCCGAAAGTAACTCGCTATTGTATCACGATGTTAGCCACTGAAAGAACAATTCGTCGCCGTCGACGTGTAACCTATTTTGAATAATATAATAATTGGTCGCTGTCATCGTAGCTTAAGAAGTAACGAGTGACGCGAAAATTTTCGTCACTTCTTTCATTAAGTTTTGAACACCTTTCCATTTTCCAATAACGACGTTACAAGTGACGAGTTACTTTCCAACTTTGGCTCTTATCCGATACCATCGATGGTTTCATCGTGATTGCAATAAATAGGTATTGTGCGACGTTTACTTACGGCAATGGGAGGAATATCGGAAAAGAGACTGATGAAAATGCGTTGTTATGAATTGTGTATTTCCTGTTGTACAAAGTCGGTCTCGGCTTCGATTAATGAGACGACAAAGCTCTCCCGCGCAAATATCCGCCGATATTCCGCTTGAATATTCCAGTTTACCACTGACGATATTGAAAGACGTCTCGCTCGTTTGTCACGGCCTCAGTATTGTTTGCGTATATAAAATAGTAATCGTTGAATATTTTAAATCTAATATCTTCGCAGATATTCCTCTGAGAGATTCTACGTGTAACGTTTGACAAACTTTTCAACGAGCGAGAAGCCACACAGGAAAATCACTCTTTCGACTCGGGTCGTTTGATTTAATCATCCGAAATCGCAGCAGATCTTCCTTTGCTGCCTCTTAATTTGGGCTTAACTGTTTCGCGTTTCGCAATTAAATTATTATCGCGACAATAGCTGAATCATTTCGGATCGCTGCACTTTCCCCTCCGTTCCCTTTCTCCATTGGTCGCCCCATTTGAATTAGATCATTTGCAAATGTACGTCACTTCCATTATAACAGCGACGAAATGTGCATAACAACACTTAGTAGTTTACATTTGCTCATAATAACAGTTCCTTTAAAAATATATTCATAATTGTTAATTAAATTTACCTTACGAGGCATCGATTCATATGGTTGCGTCAGTTGTCAGTTTACACATATCTTATAACACCTTACAATCTTACACAGGGTGTCCCGAAATCGAGGAAAATTCCTCTCGGTGCCCTTTATGAACATTCGAAGTTCCTGCGTCTAATTTCAGAACACCCTGATTACAATCTCTCTTACTTTTCTTTCCGACCTTCTTCCACAAATCAAACCGATCCCTGACATCGCAACGATATTTCGTTCCACCTTTCGTCCAAGACCGGATTACACGCCTAATTGACAGTCGACAACCGGTCACATCTTCTGACAATTCCAAGAAGAGAACCTTGACAGGGTCACAGGGTCATCCGGTCTCCCTCTCGCCGGTGGTGGTGCGGCGCATAAGCAGCGCCTAGTGTAGGACGGTTTGCGGTGGATGCGGCGTCGCGACGCCAAAGCGGGCGGGCGAGCTTTCGGTTGCGCGCGGCACTCCCCCGCTCGATATCCGCTGCGGCAAAAGATCCGGATCTGCCGGCCGCCTGGTAGCGGGCAAACCGTCGGTGGTAACGACGATAGCGGTGGTGGCGGCGACGGTGGTGGGAGCAGCCTCCGTTTTATTTCTGTCCCGGCTTCGTCGGGACCGGTCTCGCGAGAGTGCACGCGCGAGTACACCTCTCGCGCGCGTACGCGAGGAACGGACTCCACCGGACAGAACTAACCCGCGAGAACCGGGGGGGGTAGCGACATGGAGGATAGTTACACGGTGCACAGGCGTCGCAAGGCGGCCGCCAGGAAACGCGAGAAGACGCCCGACCCTTCGTCGAGGGGCGCGTCGCGCATGGACGCCACGGACGACGAGGACGAAGAGAGGCGCGCCCGGATGGAGAGGATGGCCGAGGAAGCGGAGAAGATGGAGCAGCTGCAGGAGGACAACAGGCTGTCACAGCAGCAGGATGCGCCGCCGAAGGAGCCGGAGAACAAGCGAGAGAAGAGGCAGGAGCCGCAGCCTGCCGCTAGGAAGAAAGAGAAGCATTCCGCGAATGTGGATGATGACATGGTCGCTATTCGCGCCGAAGTGGCCGCCAAGTCGTCAGCTGGGAATAGTCCGAAGACGACACGTGAGACTGACGTTGCCGCCGCCGCGGCAGCGGCTGCCGACAGCACGCGGCCGGTAAAGCAGACGGCCGAAGACGATGAGAAAGAAGCGACCAAGCCTGAAGTCACGCAGGTGGTCAAGGAAACGTCGGGGACGGCGAAGGAGGCGAGCATCGCCGAGCCCGCGAAACCCAGTGAGGCCGTCCGTAAGGTGGAGAGACGCTTGAAGAAGAGGTCGAAGGAACGCGTCGAGAGGTACAGTCGATCGACGGACTCCAGCGACATGGACGAGAGGAGCGAGTCAGCTCGAAGAAGAACGAAGTCACCCGAGGCATCGAGAGCCCGGCTGAAGAAGACGAGCGGGAAGAGCCGAGGCGGCAGCGACCCGGAGACTCAGAAGAGGGACCCCGAGAAGCTGAATCGCGAGAAGAGATCGTCGAGCGGACACAAACTGGAGGACGTCGAGCCACGAGCGAGAGAGAGCGTCGAGAAGTCGCGTCCGAGACCCTACAGTCAGACCGAAGACACGGAGTCCGAGGAGCCGAGGGTAATGAAGAAGAGCGAGAGCTTCCCGCAGAAGTCCACCGAGGAGCGCGTCATCAAGAGGTCCTCGACCGACTTGAAGAAACAGATCATCCCATTAAGTAACGACAGTCTGATCGAGGACTTCGCGAGGGCGCAGAGGCAGTATCTGCTGAGGGAGCGCAGTATCCTGGAGCCGGAGCCCGCGGACGAGTTCCAAGACGCGGCCGAAGTGAGTTTTCCGAGGAGGCGGAAGCTCAATCTGGCGCACACCGACAGCGAAGACGTTTCAGACGAGAAGGTCCTTCAGGAAGTGGCGCAGCCCTCCGATGCGGCCGGCGAGCAGAAGAGCTCCCAATTGTCTTGGCTGGCCTTCTGGCGCAGGGAGAAGGTGGATCGGAAGAACAAGGAAGACGGAGAAGACAAGGATGTCACGGAGGAAAAGGTAGAAGATAAACCGAAGCCCGCTTCGAAGCCCGAAGAGACGAGGGAAATGAGGAGGCAAGAGGCCCCGGAGAAGGTCACGCTGTTGGACTTCTTCAGGGCTCTGAGGGACGTCGTCAACGAGTTCAAGGCCTTCATGGCGCAGAACCCACGAGAGACGACGATCATGAGGAGGATGCGCAATCGCTGCGCAGCCGGGCTGATACTGATAATCATCTACTGCGGCCTCGGCGCCTTCGTCTTCCGGTTCGTCGAAGGTGCCTTCGAGACCTTCTACAAGTGCGGCGTGAAGCGCGTGAAGAGGGACTTCTTGGACAGCCTGTGGAACTACAGTCATAATTTGCGAGAGGACGACTGGAAGAGCATGGCGCGCAAGAAGCTGATGGAGTTCGAGGAGCAACTGCACACCGCCCACGAGGCTGGCGTGCACAGCTACAGCGGCCAGAAGAGTTGGAGCTTCTTGAACGCGGTCGGGTATTGTCTCTCTGTCATCACCACCATCGGTGAGGATTAATGCGTCTTGAGGCGCGTCAAGTCGGGAGTAATTTTGCCCTCTCTCTTTCTCTTTTCGACTTTTGACCGACTGATAAAATCATCTCTCAACGCCACTTTTCCAGGGGGTTCACAATCGTGTGATATTTTATTCGATTTCTCCCGCCATTCTCCCTAACTTCGACTGTCTAGCAAGTCAAGAAAAGACGGGGAGCGATTCACAGCTCGATCTTATATTTGAGATCGTCTTAATTTCATCTCAAAATACTGTATAGTCGATAAAGCGACCTTTATAGAACCTTGAGATGAAATTGAGACGTTCTTAAGTATAAGGTCGAGCTATAAATATCGTCTTTTGTTTTTTCTTGATTTTTTAGTCAATAGCAGATAGAGGATATCGACGAAGCGGCGCAAGATCGAGAGAGATATTCTTGCGGTTTTCGCCGGGAGTAACTTCTTCCAGCTGAAGATATTTTTACCGGATACTACCTTCTATTGTCTTTGTCTTCTGTACGATGTCAATTATATTTAAAGTGCCGATAGTGACGGCGCAATATCGAGCATTCTGAAAGGGTGAATTGGCGTAACATCAGCGATGCATTTTATTCGATGCGACATGGAGTACACGCGGATAGATATATCGAATCTGAGAGTTGAGCGCGGACAAGTTTCGCGGTCCGCTTGACGTAAAAGGTTTTATGGGTACCGTATTGATTTTCCGACACACGAATGCAGCGGAATTCTGATGTGTTGTGTCCGAGGTGTGTCCAAAGATATGCGCACGCGTTCTTGTGGACAAAAGTTGATCCAAAACAATACGTGTTTCGTTAAACGTCAAAGGGAAACGCTCGTGCACGGAGATATATGCATATCTACTTTAGACGGAAGATTTAGGGCTAAAGCCTGTAAAGATGTAAAAATAAAAATTGGAGGATGGATATCTTATATCTTAATTATTATTAAATATTAAATTTTATATATATCTCACGCGACACGCAAGTTTAAGAGATGTTTCAGAAACGTCTCTTAGACGTTTTTAAAACGTCTTGAGACGTTTTCTAGATATGCGCGTCGCGCGCGTGAGATGTGTGATTTAACAATATATAACATAATTAATAATGACGAATGAAATAATAAATGTAAATTCCAATTTCTACTCTTTGTTTTACGGATTTTAGTTCTCCCTTATATTTTCTAGGAGATATTTATTATTACTAAATTAATAAAAATCGTGATCATAATATATTATAACGATAAAATAAAAACTGGGTCGTAATAAATCAATTAAATCGATTATTTTTTTCTTTTGATCAGTCTAAAAATCGATTTGTTGGAATGCTGGGTGGGTACCCGATGCGGCTTAAATCGCGAGGGGAACGCGATAAATTTGGACCGTGAACGAAAAAGCTCGTGGTATCATCGTGTTACGCAATGCTCGCAGTTCCTAAGGTTGTTTAACAATCTGCGAAAAAGCGCACGTCGAATTCTCGCGATCATGCAGGTGCGACCGTTAGATTGTATTATTTGCTGAGTCAGTTACACTGGTTGTTTCTTTCATTGTGCGAGTCAAGATATATTACGATATTTACGAGGAAACAACAACCGTCGCACGAGCACGGCCGTTGAATAATCTAAACTTAGATTTACTCGCGACGTAAACGCGCTGCTCTCGCAACGTCGATTCAGATCGACACAAACAAAATAAGTTACGGCCGCGTTAGAAATTTATTCCATATACATAATCTCCAATTAAATCTGACAATATAATCGGGGAATTTCACGACGTTGAGCAAATATGGCATATATCTCAATATATGGCATAAATCAATATTATATCATTATTATACACATTGTCCGCCACCGTGACAATGATAGAATCGTAAAATGGATGATTCCTCTTGTAAAAATAAATAAAAAATAGAGAGCAAATTTTTTTTACAAGACTGTCCTCGAGAAAATAAATTTTGTTGAAAATTTCGTGAAAATTTTTTCGCCGAATACTGTTTGAATCAAACTACACTTATGGATCTATCGATTTTTTGAAGGTTCGTGAAAAAAATCTGTTATATTTTCGTTTTATTTTTGCATAAGGGGAATTACCTTTCGCACGATTCCATCATGATTACAGCCGAACTCTATGTCACCGTGATATCGTACTGTAGCTACTGAACTGGAAGACTTGCAATTTCAGGATACGGACACATCTCACCGAGCACGACCACGGGTAGAGCCATTACGATCGTTTACGCTATCTTCGGTATCCCGATGTTCCTCATTATCTTGGCTGACTTCGGTAAATTATTTACGCGAGGTATCAAGTTCCTGTGGGCATTCGTGAGGAGGCTGTACTACACCGGCAGCTGCCGCAAAGTTCGTGGCACTGTACCCGTTCAGGTGAGATTTTTCCACATCATTATCCCGTGCTTTTTCTCAGTTTTACTTGATGTTCGCCTTTACCCTTCATTTTTTCCTTGCACTCTTATCTTCTCCACAGTAAAACATTTTGCGTTACGACCCACGCAAATTTTTACGTTTTTACTTTAATAAAGTGAATATATTAATTTAACATATTTGTATATCCTTTACATATTCCCCATATTAAAGTAACGCCAAAATTTAAGCGGACCGTTTGTAACAGAAAATTTTTCACCCCGTTCTTACCCTCTCTTTGTCCTTGATTTTTTTTGCTCACGCTCGATTCACTCGGTCGCACATCGACTTAACCCGGTTCCGAATCGTTGCGTCGCAAATTGCAGGAAGTCATGAAGGGTGTGCAGCTCGTCTACGACCTCGCAAAGTTCCGGCGGCCCTCGCAGATGAATCCCGAGGACGTCGAGGAGATGCAGAAGCAACAGGCGCAGCAACCGCAAACAGTCCTGAATCTGGACGCGAACGCGCCGGACTCGCCGGGAACACCCGCGTTGTCGGCGTTCGCCGTCGACGACGAGTTCAATCTGCCGATCTCGGTGGCGATATTCATCCTGCTCGGCTACATATTCGTAGGCGCTACCCTGTACTACATGTGGGAGGACTGGGGCTTCTTCGAGAGCTTCTACTTCGTCTTCATCTCCATGAGCACCATCGGCTTCGGCGATTACGTGCCAAAGGTGATTATTTCGGGATTGAATATCGATCGAATTACACTCTTTGCGATGGACGCCTTGCAGATACGTTTCCGTGAACTTGTTTGACGACACTTTGTACTTAGATTCCTTTAGTAACCGATTTAGTAGCGATCGATCGAGAGGTGAACCGCACAAAGTCGAAGTAGAACTTAGCGAGAGCTCGTTTCTCACGTTGCGATTCATCTTCATTTGCATCATTCGTAGGAACGGTGAGAATCCGCGAGAATTCGAAATTTGATTTGCCCTTAGCGTTTTCTTTCAATCAGGCCCCGATCGAATCTCACTTGCGATCCCACGACAGTCTTGTATAGTGAATGATTAATTTACTTTCGTGTTTCTCTCTTTCACGGTGGCGCTCAGATGGTAAGCTTCTTTACGCGTCTACACACACACACACGCGCGCACACGCACGTACACACATATTTCCTCAACGGGACCGTATATCATCATGATGTATTCGTTGTTTCTTTTTTTTTCGCACGCTTATTTTCATTCACGCAAGTCGTTTCGTTATGATAGTGAACATACCGACGCGCACATGCCGCGCAGAGCAGAATTTAACGAATTCGTTGATTGATTGATCTAGCACCCCATATACATGATGTGTTCGATAGTATACCTGGTGTTTGGCCTGGCGCTCACGTCCATGTGCATCAACGTCGTACAGGTGAGAGACGAGAATTCACTATAAGGTAAAAGCGCTGACCAATAATACCTGGCAGCGTCTTTAACTCTGGACACTATCGCCGTCTCATTCCTTCTAATAAGAATAATCAAATCTCCGATGCAGAATAAAAATGTTCTCTTGTTTATACAGCACTCTCTTATAGTATTTTTAATAATTCGATGATTACTATATATTTACGTCGCTAATTTAATGACACAATGATGACCGCGTCCTGATGGTAACCCGGTGAAACTACGCGTCGGAAAGATATCGTTCGTTAATCTGATCGAATTAACTCGAATCACGCCGCCAGGTGATGCTGTCGGACTCGTTCAAGCAGGCGAGCCAGAAGATCGGAGCCACGATCGGCTTTGAAGTCGCCGAGGACGACAACTCGGTGAAACCCGCGGCACCGCCGCCTGTCGAGGTCGCAGACGTCCACATGAGCATGAAGGAGTCCGAAAGCGAAGAGAAGATCGCGCCCAAGGCCAAGCAGGAGGACGTCGACCTGTAGATGCATTTCTTCCAGAAACTCTCGACCCGATCGTTCGCTCGCTCGCTCGCTCGTTCTCTCTCTCTCTCTCTCTCTCTCTCTCGCCTGCTCATTTCGCGAAACGCGTGCGATCTATCCGGCCTTAAGAGTAAGAGTCCGCTGGCTTACGCAACACGGAAGCGCACTAATTGCCGCAGCACGCACGCAATCAAAGCTTCGAGGTACAAATACGCCGTCGGGCTCGTCTTTACGCGACGAGAATCCCGCGACTCGCAACTCACAACTCACAACGTCGAAGAGAGCGGATTTTTCGGACGGGGCTGTGTTTGCGAATTGATTTCGATCGAACCAGATAATTTCCAGACAGCACAAATATCCGAAAGGCGTCTCAAAGGCGTCCGAAAGATGTCTGAAAAATATAAGGCGTCCTTTGGATGCCTTCAAACATCTTTCCGAAAATTGTACTGTCTGGAAATTGATTTCTATTAAAGGACTCTAAACTGATATTACTTCAATGGAAGCTAATATAATCAGTATTTGTGTGAATTTTTGTTGAGAAATCTGCCGTAAACTCAGGTACTTTCAAGACCTATCGACCATCTCCGATCTCCGCGGGTGTCTCATTGGAGGTAAAGACGGTCCGAATCATATCGGCGACGTCGGCGATGAAAACTTCTCGAGCACAATTTTACGTCCGTCTATCGCGTTGCAGTCGCATCAAACGCACGCGATTCTTTCGAATAAATGTACATATTTCCGAGACGCGTAGAAAGCGACGATGGCGATCTCACGCGAGACCGGGATCTAAATAGTGTCAGTCACAGCGACCGATGAGTACATATGCGAGTCTCTTCGCCCGAAGGGACGAGATTCATCAACTATTTTTGTGAATGGTACATCGAACGGAGAGGAAAAAGACGGTCGCCATTTAGCAGTCGCGCTCTTGCCAAATGCCCGCGGGCCAGATATATACGTCTCGCGACTTATTTTTCGTAGTCTAGAGTCTTTTGACAATAAACATAAGAAAACGCGTATTTTGTATATTTTGTAATCCACGCGATCCGAGTATTTTGCCCTCCGAGTCGATGCTTATGTATTACGCGATGGCACGTAAAGGGGTGCGCGAAGCGATCGACTTTGATGGGGCTTATCCTCGGTCTGCAAATTTTCATCCTTTCTCTGCGACGAATTATCGTATTATTTCGACTTATTAAAACTCCCGTTCGGCTCGAGAGGAAACTACGGCAATACAACTTTCTTATACAAGAAGTTTATTGACGGAAATATGGGATATATACGAGAAAAGACGGGGGAATATATATTCGAAAAATTGTAAAGTAATTCCTGATTTGAAAATGAATTGACGAACTTAAGATTTTACGGTGTGGCCTTCTTTGAGATTTTTGACTTGTTTCCGTTTATCTTTCGCAGATACGTCATTACTTAATGCCGTTGTAATATTTAATGGATTAACTCAGACGGGAGAGTTGCAATTTCCGCGACGGAGACACAAACACTCGTGCCTTTTTAAAAATGAGAGAAATTAGTTGTTGAACGTTTATAGAAATACGCAATGATTTCTGCGTGCGATGAAGTTCGATCCACAATCGTTGCTACTTGGCAGGGATATTATTTTCATTCTACGTTAAAGAAAGCAAAGTGAATGGCTTGGTGAATATGTGGCATCTTTGCGAGTTTACTAGTCGTTGAAAATTCACGTAAATTGTGAAAAAAGTTAAGTGTACGTAAATTTACTACTATAATAAGATACTTATATTAATACTATTGTAATTATTATTATCGAATTTACTTACAAATAAATATATAAGACAGTACATTAATCGTTCAAATTTCATGTTGCGTCTCGCACATCTCCCTTGAATATTGATCGGGTTCAACATGATTAATTAACTTTCAGTAAGATGACGATCGCGCACAGACGTCTCTTTTCAGCGATTTAAATTGAAATAAATCGATACGACTGTTCAGTCGTCGAGAATCAAGCGCTCGAATCGAGATTGAATCGACGCGAAACTCGCACATTTTCACGTCCTATGCCGTTCCATTGGCAGCCCTGTATCTGGACAAAATGTAGCAGCTTCAGTGGGGACCCAAGATGGCCGAAGGATGACAACATACAGCTGTCAGTTGGTGCGAACAACGAAATTTTTTAAGGGGGATTGGAGGGAAAATGTCTCACATTCAGTATGTAGACGAGTTGGTCAAGGAGTACTTGCTCTTCCGAGGCTTTAGTCAAACACTGAAGGCTTTTGACAATGACCTGAAGGCGGAGAAAGAAAAGGGGTTCAGGGTGAGAGTAATTGTACAGAATCACAGTAAACGTAGAGAACGTGTGACACAAGGATTGAAAAACGATAGAACGCCGAATAAAATGAGGATATCGCTCATCGGAATTTCAAATAATCGTACGATACACATTTCTCTCTGACTGTCGAAATGTTTCTCAAATGTTTATTGATACACAGAAATTCGTACAAATGTCAATTACTGATTGCAAGGTATTCTGTCACGTCTGATCAAACAGGTCGACAAAATAGTGGATCAATTAATGCAATACATATACAATTACGACCTGGCGTCATTGAGGGAATTATGGGGACACTTGGATACTAGAATGTTTTGTCGTCTGGAGAGTCACTTCACACCTGCCATCAGAAAGCTGGAGAACGCCGTGCTGAAGATGTACCTGGTGAATGCGGCCGTGAACGGCAAACAAGACAGAATCCAGGAGTTTTTTACCAAAATGGCGCCAGAACTACAGGGTCACTCAGAGTGGAAGGAGTGGTTCGGTATATGCTTCGTTTATTTTGTGTATATACAATAATGCGGGTGTATATGTGAGGTTTTAATTGCTGTATTCTACCATATTGCAGCATTCCCCTTTGTCAAGAATCCCGAAGACAATCCAACTTATTCCGTGCATTTTAGTAAGCAGTGGCATGATACTATGTTGGTATCTTTACATAATTTCCTAGCAACAATCGTTCAAGTAGGTAAAAGGATACTTTTGCTCTGTTCTATTCACGTTTGAATCTAAAGTTAATATCGCTATGAGATATTAAATAACCGATCAATGCTACATATAATGTAGATATTGATTTTTAGTCATGCTGGAGTGCGTGATAGAAAATACAATGCTAATTAAATTTATAAATTTAATATACAATTATCTTAGTGCATGCCACAGCCGACGTTACTCACGATAGACGAGGATACAAACAAGTTAAAACGATTGCAAGAGGAGAATGAACTGCTGAGGCAACGACTGAGCGAGTCCGTCAAAATAGAGAGCATATCGGACGTGAACCCAGGTTCGGCACCCCAGTATCCTCAAATTATGGACGACTTTTATATTATTGCTCAGTACGTATCCGTCCATCGTACGTCATCGTAAAAAAGGAAAAAAAAACCTGATTACAATCTAACACGAGTTTTGGAACTTTTAAATAACAGAGAATCGCCGCTACTGGAAAATCCTAAGACACTGCGAAATCTCATAAGGAACATTGGCGGCGGATCCAGTCCAATTTTAAGTAGAAAACCTGCAACAAACATAAAGAAACTGGTGGAACCTGAAGCAAGCTCGACGAAACGCACCAACACGAAGGGACGAGTGAACTCGATCAGCAAGTCCGAGGCAGTCGCCAAGAGGAGCATCAGCTGTGATTCAAGATTAAGTAGTTCTAGGAAAAGAGACTCTTCTATGGACACTGCTGTCGAGAGGAAAACCAAGGAAAAGATAGATTCCAGTTATATTCTTCTAAGTCAGGTATCACATCAGGACGACTGTCTATCTCACGTCTTTACATTCTGGATTGGCTCCATTATTCGCGCGGAACGTTTACAGGAGGAATACACCGAGCACAAAACCTCCATAATCCAATGCAAGAGCAACGCTAGCGGATCGTACGTCGCGACGGGCGACGCCGACGGTATCATCAAAGTATGGACGCCGATTCCCTCACCAAAGTAAATAATCGCGTGGTTCTCTCTAGCGCGCACGAAATCGCGACACGTATACCTCACCGTCGATCTTCCTCTCCCCTCAGGACCGTTACTACGTTCACCTCCGCCACGGCGAATTCCAACAAAGCCATCACCTCGCTAGACTGGATATCGAAGAACGAACGTTACTTCCTGCACGGCGACAACAACGGTTTAATCCAGCTGCACGACACGCGGGACTGCAAGACACTCTGGGACATTCAGCACGAGAATTCGCGCGTCGTCACCCTGATCTGCAATCCGACGGAGTCGACGTTCGTCTGCTCCGTGTCGAACGGCAGCGAGGGCAAGCTGCTGCTGTACGACATCAAAACTAGGAAGCTCGAGAGGACCCTGTCGATGGAGCAGAACGTCACCGCTCTGTGTTCCGCGTTCAACCACAACGGCCAACTACTTATCACGGGATTGTCCAACGGCAATATACTGATACACGATCTACGGCAAAACGAGATAATCGACAATCTCAACTGCCACTCCAGCCCGATAATCGACATAGAGTTAATCCACGATTTCACGAACATCTGCGCGCAGAGCGAGGACGGTAAACTATGCCAAAGAAGCTTGAATCACTCGGGTAAGATCCTGTGGGAGACCAAGATCAAGATAGAGAAGAACCCCGTGCACGGGAAACTGTTCACCTTCGACCAGAGTGGAAGCTACATGTTACTTTGCACGCAGACCGGAGGCAATATATACAAGGTATATACTTATATATAGGTTCATTTTTCTATCGACACAGCCGTATATCTCTATCGACCGGACCGTTTTCACCTCACCACAGATGCCACCAGGCGCTCAAGGGAAAATTCTAGAGCTAGGCGGACACAAGGGTACCCTGTGCTGCGACTGGTCAACTGCCAATCAATCCGGGACTTGCATAACCGGTGGCGCGGAAGGGAAGGCGCGAGTGTCGACACTACTCTCACCATGATATAGGAACAAAATTAGCATTTGTGTAAATTCGTAAGGCAAAAGATAGTTTACTAAGTTATACGATAGAACGAATATTGTAGATATTATTTTACTCGCTGTGTATCAAAGTCAAAGGGCAACGTGAGCGGCTGTAGTATGTAAGAATGCGTCAAGTAAGATCCCGAGACGTACCGTGTATATCGCCAAAGCGTCGGTAATTTTTGTGTAAAGAAGAAAAAAAAAACAAAAGAAATCAATATATTTTATGGGAAGTACAAGTGAATGCCAATGTATCATCGTGTATCTCGGTAGTTATTAGCAGCTACTGTAATATAATTGTCTTTTATCTTTGAAATGCAATCAGGGACTACGAAACGTAAAGTGTACAGAGAACAAACTATTTATAGGGAGGATGTTACGAAATATCTCTGGTATTATCTCTACGTGATGATTTTATTCAGTTTTGTAATCCAACTGAAAGACGCGAGCGGGAAAACTGATGGGAAAGGACGGTCGCGATGCGATCTTGCGTAACGTTGCGGATTCGAGAAATGTACAAGAACCGAGGAAAATGTCAATAAATACGAGTCAATTTTAGAATCACGAGTGTTGCGCGTCATTCCCCGACATTCTCCGCTATCGGATAATTATGATTGCAGTTGCTACGGCGCAGGCCATCGCGCTTATTTTGCGTGGAGATTTTCCCGTTGTTACTTCGGCACGTTCAATAATCACGATCGAATCTCTTACCTCTTTCTCTCTGTTCTTTATGCCTAACAGGAAAGAAGTTTTAAATGCGGCCCTCGCATTGACCATTTATTAAACGGGCCTGTCATAGCCAGCTGTGGAGACCAGTATCTTCTAAGAGCCTCGGTTATCTCCGAAGGTGTTAACGGTTTCGTTGCGACGTTCTAGAAAAGAATGAGAAAAGAAATAAGAAATATGTATCGTCCAGCTTTACCCTATTGACAAGTTCAAGGCAACTGCAACACATACTTTGCCATGATAATAATGGCTTGTGATATACGGCTTGTACGTAAATGGATTAACATAGCTCAAGCGTTGCCGATCTATGGGGTCACCGTATATTTTACTTTGATCTTGCCGGACCAGGAAGGCGAGATCGACGATTTGAGCAACTGTTTCGTAGGCCAAATAACTTAAGATTGTGTACGCCTGTTTCGACAGTGTGATATCTCCTGTGTATATGAAATATATATATTCGATGTATTAGTACTGTATTGGTTTGAGTGGTGTATCAGTACTATATATGTAAGAATATTAAAGCTCACAGTAAACCGGACATTACCATCCACACAAATCCAATCACTGAATTTATGGCGTCCTTTGTTTGCGAAGGATATACGACGCGCCTTGCTGTATTTCATGTAACGTATCTCGTCCATGGACCTCGTCACTATTTCCGCACGGACGCATCTTTGTTGCTTGACGTCATCCGTAGTGGATGATATATTTTCGAGAAGTTCGCCCGTATTATCAATCTGTTCCAGAAAATTTTGGAATGGTACCTTTTTCTTGATGCCATTCAACTGATCGGTATCATTAATGTTTTCTGGCATATCATTCTCCAAAATCTTATGAGCTGAAAATCCGATTTCTTTGATTTCTGAGGAAAAACATTATTTTGAGATTAGTAACGATAGCGGACAATTTAGATGCAATCGAAAAAGTTTCGCCGCATATTCACCAAGATATTTCAAGATGCGACGAAGTTTAATTTTGTCTCTACGCAATAAGAAAAGAAAGTCTTCTCCGTTAAGGACATTGCTCTTCTTTGAACTGGCTCGTCTATCAGCGATCTCGCTAGCTCTCTTGATAATTGCTCTCATTTGTTGCAACACAACTTCCTCTATGATCTTTGCAGACTCCAACAATGGTTCACTGCTATCCCCGAATCCATGCATCATTTGCCGAATTTCTGTATGAAGTTTGCAAACTTGAATGAACATTTACTCAGCGACAATTATTAAACATACAATTATTGACAAGTTCTATATGATAACCTGCGGTAAAATCTGTCAATAAATATGAATCTCATCTGCACTAATTAAGTTTCAAAGGCAGAGTATAAAATATCTTATAAATGAACATTCTCGTTCTGTTTTCTCTATTGTGTATCAGAAATCAGCATATAACCTTACAAAATAGTAAAAAACATACCGTTAGCATAATTTGTTGGTTCAGTAATTGTCGGTTTTGTAAATGTCGCTTCTGCCATTTTTTCTCACCTATGTTACTTGAAGATAAAAAACTCTCTGATCTGCTGTTAAAACGGACCGTTCAAAGATAAAAGATACCTTCACCTGTTACTGAGAAATGTGTACACTCGTTTGACCAGTCCTTGAGTCATACTACTTGAGAAATAGAAAGCACGTCTGACTCCATTATTTAGTCATATCACGACCTCAGTTTCTCGTTAAGTATAATGGCGACTCGTAGCGGAGGGTCTGAAACTAAATTACAGAAATAACAGGTTTACGGAATTATTAGACCCGATATTTCTGTAATTTAGTTCCAGACTCTCCGCTACGAGTCGCCATTATACTTAACGAGAAACTGAGGTCGTGATATGACTAAACGATGGAGCCGGGCGTACTTCTATTTCTCAAGTAGTATAAGTGAAGGATTTGCCAGGCGTATTATCCATTATAATAAAAAACATAGATTGAAATTCAACAAGCTATAACTTTCGTAAAAATGATGCTATGGAGATCGTTTAAGAAGCATTTTAAAGCTTGAAGTTTCTAGTTTTTAACCACATTAGCTATATTAATGTTATCGTTAATTTTCGTCAAGATATTTCGAGTTAAACGAAAAATGGCGACCGTTTAATTACAAACTTCGCTTCCAGTTTTCAGAGCGAAAAATTTATTCGAAAATGTGATGAAACGGGTTTCTTTTTAAATTTTGCAGGGGAAAAAAGAAAGTAAATTGTAGTTTCTTAAATTTAATATGGAAAAATATGAATAAATATAAAATTCCAATTCAAATAAAAATAAGATCAAACGTTATTACTTGCTGTTGTAAAACGTTGGTAGAAAATAAATGTAAATATAAATGTTCGTAAACGTTGGTTGTCTTATAATGTTCAATAAAAAAAAGTTGCGTTTACTATTTCTGTAAACATTAGTGTATCATGATCCAAAATATTTTGCGAGGTAGAAAGAATAAACATATTATTTGTGACTCATTGTTCAGCTACAACATGTTCTGGTACAACTTTGGCTACCTTCCTAAATTCTTTACACATCGATTTTGGACATTGCATTTGTGTCCAGCTGATCGGTACCATTGCTACACCTATTAAATTATCACACATTTCAATAAAAGGGCATAAAGAAAATTGTATATATGAGTTTTTACCTTCTTCACTATGAGCTATAACTACTCCTAACTCATTTTCTGCAGTGCTTAGTTGATAAGTGTGAGCCTCTGTCATTGGCATCTATCAAAAAGTATAGGAAAAAAGGTCGCTGCATAATTCTGGCACCTAGCTAGTGCAGTTTTAAATCGAGTTAAAGGATACAACTCTTGCTAAAATGATATCTCCCGGTCTGTAAGATTTATACATCTCTATTTTATCCTTGTCGACTGCTCTGACGTCCTCTTTCCTTAAAATCCCTCTGTAAGGTCTTGTTAATACTATGTCGCCTACACACTTGATGCTGCATTTGCAAAATCTCTGATTGACCACAGTTACCATTGCTGTGACAATATCCCCTGGTGCAGGAATGATGCTCTGTTCCGTTATACCGTGCACTTCAATTATACGAGTCTGCAACGACATGCACTTGGAGGTATTTATTCCGATGCGAGAAGGGGGTAATACACATGACTTACTTTTTCATTCGCTATCAATTTTACAATGCCAGCAAGCTTTGAATAAATATAACCTTGCTGCTCATACGTTCCTGGTCCAGCAATATTAACTTTGTCAGACACACATAATCTTTGACCTTTCACATATATAGAAAAATTAATTTAATACGAATGTAACATATATTATGTAATTAAAAAAATGTATAATTTACCAGGCACACAGATAATAAGTTCTTCATTTTTCTCCATTATTTATCTTACGTTCTTTTCATCAATAATATTGACAAAAGACGAATAGGTTAGATCAGGTTATGTTGTATCCAACGGCAGATCGGGAGGGACTGGAGGCGCTTTAGTCTTGGTTATTTCCACGCTTCATCCAAAGAAGTGGATGTAAAACACGATTGGCAGTAGATGTTGACAAATGATTGTCTAAATATATATATATATATCTATTTTTTTTTATGTCATTCACTCTTCTTTTGAAAAGATCTTATTACAAAATCAACATTATAACTAATCCTATATATTACAATTTAGAAGATTTATCGAATAACAGAACGAAACCATGGAATAACATATTTATCTAATCGAGGGTGTTTAAATAAAAAAAATTCAGTTACTTGGTATCTAAGAATATACTCTACAGTATCTTTTGTTTACAGAATAAACTTATTCCGTAGAGAAACATTCACCTCACATACTCTCTCCCACTCTTTCATTTTATTTTTCACTTCACGTTCATTCATTGAATATACCATCATAGTATTCTACAATAGCAGGATTATAACATTGGAACTGTTAACAAACTATTACTGTATTGTTTTTGGTACAAATCACTTTACATGGCTAATCATCGTCGTAAATGAGAACGGTATCTTTTTGCACCTGATGTATATGCTATACTTGCATTACTTCTTACGCAAGCGATCAACTATATACATAATTTGTCAGTAGGTAAAAATCATTCAACTGAATATTTTAAGGTACTATAGTTGACCATTGTTTGCCATAAATATAAAATACACAAATTACCAGGCTTTTAACAAAAGTTTGACTGCGTGTCTACGATAACTGTTTACGTAACTTTGCAAAAAAATAAAATTTAATTTCATGTAACATTTAGAACGCAAGATTCTTATTTTTAAAACCATGCTATGTAATCGCATAGAATCTTGCTGTTACATGATGCGTATATATTTATTGAAACAAGAGTTCTACGCGAATCGAGTTGTTTCTTGGAAAAGCAATACTTCGTTTCTTCAAGCTGACTTCCAATCGGCTCTACTATCGCTTGCAAAATATCAAAAATTAATTTCGCGTTTTCTTTTTTTTTGTTTTACTTAAACAAATAGTTTGCGATACAGCAACAGATGCTTGTACAAGTGTGTGCATGGAATTTGTGTTTATTTTTACAGAGAACGCAAATTACCTAATTATATTTAATTTTTCTCTTCCTTCTTCTCGCTTTCAGGTTCCTGAGGAGGTTCCTGTTGCGAGGACTGATTTTGACTGCTTTCTCTTTCCGCAGCCATCTGTAAAATCGATGTGTTTAAGTAACACTCACTCAACTGTGCGCACAGAGCTGTAACTGTGTTTATCGAATTAATTTTCACAGGCTGAGTACCTTTTTGTACGCCATCTCGAACAGTTTTAGGCTGGCTTGTTGGAGTTCGTTCGTTTGCTTCTTTATTTCTTCGGGATCCGTATCGTCCTTCTTACTCAAAGTTTCTCGCAGTTTCCCGATTAATTCTTTAATCTTGTCGCACTGCAAAGAGAAATAATATATACAAAAATGCTGATGTAAAATGTTAATAACAATAAATAACAATGACATTACCTCTTCTTGTGGTACTTGCGCTTTGAATTCTTCCAACTTCGACTCGGTATCATGTATGATTCCTTCTGCTTGATTAATAGCTTCAACCCTTTCCTTCTTAACTTTATCCGCCTTGGCGTACTGTTCCGCGTTTTTAACCATATTCTCAATTTCATCTTTGCTAAGGCCACCGCTGGATTGTATAATAACTGTAATGAAAAATATGATATAATGAAAATTTTGAAATATGAGAAGCGTAATTTATCGTTAATCACAACGATAATTCAGTTGAAGAATGTCCACATATTTTACTTCATCTTAAAGTAAACTTGAGCGACGAAAAATAAAACCATCATTTGTAACGCTAATTATGCCTTCTTTAACATATATAAAGATGAAAGATAACGAAGGATAACATACTCTGTTGCTCCTTGCCAGTTCCCTTATCCCTCGCCGATACATGCACTATACCGTTTGCATCAATGTCGAACGTTACTTCTATTTGCGGTACACCCCTCGGTGCAGGTGGAATACCAATAAGGCTGAATTGACCCAGCAGTTTGTTATCGCCAGCCATTTCTCGCTCGCCCTGATGAACTTTGATCTCCACTTGAGTCTGGCCGTCCGCCGCCGTAGAGAATACCTGACTCTTTTTCGTAGGTATAGTTGTATTACGGGAGATTAATCTCGTGAACACTCCGCCAAGTGTCTCAATACCTACACACAAGATTTAAAGAGTGATCTTTTTTTTTTCTTGCCATACGTATGACGTACACAGCTCTAACTTTATCCGGCAAGTTAGATCGACGGAAACTCAGTAAATCGATATCTTCATTGATATCAGAGAGAAGATTAGTCTAGTACATCATAGTTTCACACCTATTCGCGATAGAAAAACGACTTGGATCAATGATTTACCTAACGACAAAGGCGTAACATCGAGCAGCAGAACGTCCGTCACGTCCCCTGCGAGTACACCTCCTTGAACCGCAGCGCCCACAGCAACAGCCTCATCCGGATTTACAGCCTTCGATGGTTGTCTACCAAATATATCTTGAACAGTTTGCTGTACTTTAGGAACTCTGGTCATACCGCCGACCAACAGAACCTCCCCAATGTCGGATTTCGAGACTTCAGCGTCAGAAAGCGCCTTCTGACAGGGCTGAATGGTACGCTTAATCAGATCATTCACGAGACTTTCGAATTTGCTTCTGGACAATTTCAGATTTAAATGCTTTGGTCCACTAGAATCCATAGTAAGGTACGGTAAATTAATATCTGTCTGAAGCGAGCTCGACAGCTCGATCTTAGCCTTCTCCGCTGCTTCTTTCAATCTTTGCATTGCCATTGCGTCTTTAGTCACGTCGATACCTTGCTGTAATGTTTCATCGAGTAATTAGGCACACAATGTACTACAATGCCACCACTAATGGCATTAGGATGAATCTTTGTACTCAGTTGCAACAGGATATGTACCTCTTTTCTGAATTCTGTTACAAGGTAATTAACTAAAGTATTGTCGAAATCTTCCCCGCCCAAAAATGTATCGCCATTCGTGGATTTCACTTCAAAGACACCCTTCTGAATTTCTAAAATTGAGATATCAAAGGTACCTCCACCCAAGTCATAAACGGCAATACTGAAAAAAAAGATGTGGAATTTTGTCATTTCTATTTTTTTTTTCTGCGAACTGTAAGATATATATAGTGCGATGTTTTCAGTGAAGTGTGTCAGCATCTTTAAGATAAATATACCTCTAAGAGACGAAAAATACAATCATCATATGTAGAACAATATTTCTGGTAGTATATATATCAATACATAAGTACATTTCTTACATCTTATCTTCCTGTTTATCCATGCCGTATGCAAGTGCAGCTGCTGTCGGCTCATTAATTACACGAAGTACGTTTAATCCAGCTATTTGACCAGCATCTTTTGTGGCTTGTCGCTGTGAATCGTTGAAATACGCCGGTACAGTGACAACAGCATTCTTTACCGAAGTGTTTAAGTAAGCTGCAGCCGTTTCTTTCATTTTCATAAGTACAAACGCTCCTATCTGACTAGGAGAATACATTTTTCCATCGGCACCCTGTACCCACGCATCTCCATTGGATGCTTTCACAATTTTATACGACACACTCTTCCTGTAAAAATATATCATGCGTATCAGCACAAAAATACATACCTATAGTAATTTCACGTCGTAATACGAATTGTATAAAAATTAATGCAATACATACATATCTTTTTTTACTTCAGGGTCATCGAATCTGCGCCCAATCAACCGTTTTGTTGCGTAAAACGTATTGGCGGAATTTGTGACTGCTTGTCGTTTCGCGGGCATGCCAACTAAACGTTCATTTTCTAAAAGAATAAATATAGTTACTTGTTAATTGCAAAACCGATGAAGTTATTATTGACCTATCGTAACATGCAATAAAATGCATAGAGAATGTACAAGTTTGAAGGTTATCAGTGTACAATAGTGATGTTGATGTGACTGATGTTGACAGTGACTGAGCAATAACCTTTTGAGAAAGCAACATAAGATGGAGTAGTCCTAGAGCCTTCAGCATTTTCTATAACTTTAGCTTGTTTACCCTCCATCAATGCTACACATGAGAATGTGGTTCCAAGGTCAATACCAATTACTGCACCTTTCACACCTTCGGATCTACAGAAGGCGATTTATTTTAGAATTTTTTTATATTGAACACATGTTAATATACATATATCTATAAATATAACATGATATAGCTATAAATATAACATGATTTATTAATACAACATATTAATACTGATATTAGTACGAGGTATCAATATATATCATTGGTTGCATCATCTTCATATCTTATATATATATATATTTTTTTTTACTCACTTGTGCCGATGCTGTTGTAAATCAGTCAATCTTTGTGGCACAGTGACTAATGGAGCTGCAACCTATAGAATATTGAAAATAAAACTATGGATTAATACACGTATATGAGTCGTAATGCAAATAACCATATATGAAATATTATCAGGAATAGAAATTTATTAAATGGGTTCAAAGAAAAAGGAGAAATATGGAATTATAGAAACTAATAGAGACGAGACTTTTATTTCTTATGCGAACCAATACTTACATTAGTTTCATATATGCGTTTGTATATATATATATCAATTTTTTCATGGAAATATATTTTTAATATATCCCTATATTTTAGTATTTTAATGTTCAAGATCTCATTGGAAAAAAGAATCAGTAATAGCAGATTAGAAACCTCTCTGGAGAGAAGAATCTTGCTAAGTAATCATAACGAACAGTAAAATAAGTGGGAAATTAAAGCCTGCTATATCACATCCTATATGATCTAAGAATATTTGCTGAATGTGAGATAACATTGCGCTCACGTGCCGGCTTTAAAATCGGCGTCGTGACAAAATTAATTTGCCGGGGCGGTAATCGCGAAACAGGTTAGAATTCATCGGACGAGGTAACAAGTACGCATCGCCAGCAGGAATCTATCTCGCGTTAGATGATGCATGTACAATTAACGACGACCACGAAAAGCTAGGAAAGGCACGACGGAGCCGTGCGACGAGATCGCAAGTTTGAGACTCACGTTTTTCAGGATTGTGCTAAAATGTTGCTTCCTGGCGACGTCACATGAGACACCGGCATAGCTGCGGCTTAGCATTCTCGCAGCAGTCAACATCTTGGATTTCTTTGCAGAATTCGTGGGAGTTCCAGCGACAAATCAGCAAGATAGACGGATCGCCTTCTTCACGTGTAATGATGCAACCCGGAGAGGTCGTAATGCGCAGACACGCTCGCAACTTCGCGGCGCACCCCGTCGACGATCGGGCGATGGATAGTCTCACGCTGCCAATGAGGTAACGGGTCTAGCGGGTCCGCCAATGGCAAGCACGCATGGCGATTACGTCCGCCGTTACGTCACGACGTGAGAAGATCGCGAATGTTCCATGGGTGTTCCACGAGCGGCAGATCGAGTCTGCAGCACGCATGAGATTACGTTGTAAAAGCAGGAGGAATTATTCCGACGAAAAATAACGCCGACAGCTCGTCAATAGTTAAGCATTGTTGCATGTTAGATGCCTGCGTGCGTGGTAAGTCGAACAGATTCCGTAGCCGGAACTACGTGTGGCGCCGGCCGCCTCAGTTTCCGGGTTTCAAACGCGAGATATGGAATCGAGCGTACCGTACCGAGCAGCGAAGGCGTTGCACGTACAAGAGCGAACGGCGATCTGGAATAATTGAGATCGAACACCGTCTTTTCATTAATTCTTCGCGCCGAATAACGATACGATGGCGAACGATTGCCGGTACAAGTCGAAATCAGGTGAGACTCGATTTGTATCAGAAGTATTTCGGCGATCCAATTCTTTTTTTCAAGTGTAAAAAGTACATCGCCAACATGGTTTCCAAATGAACGTTAAAAGATCGAGTAAAGATAGAGATTTCTGCCTTGTATGTAATATATATCATTTTATATATGTGTGTATCATATACTGTACTTTATTTCGGAGTAATACCCCACAAAGTTAGAATAAGTTAAAATCTTAAAGTTGCACCTACTAAAAAAATAAAGAGAAATAATACAAAATATGCAACCGAAAATGCTCGATTTGAACTCGATCTTCTGTCACGTCACGTCTTCCGTGACTTGAGAATATCCCGAATATTTTAGGGAACGAGAAGCAGATCGAGCATCGAGCGCGATGAAGAAACGTTGAAAAAGACGTAATGCAGGGAGAATGACTTCGACAAAGAATGCAGGTAGCCTGCAATACCTACGCATTGTTGCGTTCAGACGCCTACGCGCGCGGTAAGTCAAATAGATCTTACAAGCGGAATTACACGTAACGCTCTGGCGGTTTTGCGACTTTCAAAAGCGAGACGTTGAATCGAGCGCAAAGTTGTCGCACGTACAACAATGAGTCAAAGTCGAATACCGTCTCTTCGTTAACCTTTCGTGTCGAATAACGCCACGACACGGCAACGGCTGTCGAATATAAGTCGAAGTCATGTGAGATTTAGCGATTTAGCGTGTTAGAAATATTCAGCAGCGATTCAAAGTTTTCTTTTTCCAACGTGAAAAGTACGTTGGCCAATATGGCTGCCGAAAGAACGTAAAAGACGCTGTGGAGATATTTCCCTTATAGGTCACACATATCGTTGCAGAGTATATCATATAATATACTTTATTTGGGCGCAATACACATCAAAATTAAAATAAGTTAGAGTCCTGAGACCGGATCTACAAAAAAATGAAAAATAATAAGACGACGTATGCTACCGAAAGTGCTCGATTCCAACGATCGAGCTATTTGCGTGCGTATTATATACATCATTATTCGGTGTATTACTCCATCGACACTCGTGTGTCGTTCCATCGTGTATTATTCACCGTTAGAACATTGCGTGCACGCACGCGTTCCTACATTTTATTCGATTGGAATTTTCAAATTTGAACTGCGTCATGCTCTTTTTAGCAGTGCATTACATTGAATGTCGGTGATGCAAACGCACTTGAAAAACGTACTCGTAGTCTTAAAGATTAAATAACTCGAAACTATAATAACGATGGTAGCTTGCAATAAAATTACAACGAGTAGTACAACAAAATGTGTATTAACAAATGTGCGTAATTAGAAATGAGATGGAGATCATTATGAACAGTTCTTCTTTCGTTACAATGAGGTATTAAAACTATCGACGCACGTTACAATCTCAATTACAAAAAGGAATGTCATTCAACGATGAATCGATTATTAAAAAAATATTTTACTTTTGTAACTTTCGTTTGTTGTGAACTTTTTCTTAGGAGAGTTTCATTCGATCGACTTCGACCTGGCTCATATTCGAAGTGAAATCACGATTGCAAGTCTGTCGAATTAGTCGCTACAGATAAGTTGTATCAACTGTGAGTTAATTCGACTCAACGATAGCGTCTGTAATATTTTTTTATTCACGCGATTTTGAAACTGGCACGCGAGAAAAACAGGGTGTCTCACCGATTTCAACCGAACATGCGATCCCTAATATGGTCAGGAACAATATCGTTTAACATGAACAGTATCGAAGTTCGATAATGGACGTGAGAGTCCGATTAAACCGCGTCTTCGGTCCTTTCTCTCCAAGCTGTGAAATTCATGGCTCCTGCTATGTAGACCGTGCAATTTGTCATATCATTCCTGAAACGTAAAAATAGTATCTGAATTAAATCGCTTGATATTTGAACGCGTCACATTGGTCGGTCATTATCAGAATCAGCTTATGAACTCATATTTAGATTTGCGATACTCAGAGGTCGAAAACAATAGTTACAGAAAAGGATCTTTCAGGATGAAAGCTCGCGGTTGCATCCACTGTAGTCTGTCGCCGTTGCGGCATAAAATTTGCGCCATCGTACTCTTTCGTATCTCCTCCAGCTGCTTTATCGTTAATGAACCGGGGGTATTTCCATTCTCGTACCAATACCTATCGCCTGTACATGCGAGGAAATTGTAAGAGGATGAGGCAAAAATGTCGATTCTTTCTGTCTTAAGTTCACGAGACACGGAGCGCGCTTTCCTCGATCCTCGCTCTCTTTCGTCCTCCCCTCCCGGGTCGATATTTGAAGGGAAATTAATAAGAACAACGCGATACAAATCGGATTTCGCGTATTCATAAATCCAACAAGAGAGGACGCGAGATTAGTGTCGTTTAAAATCATGAATTTTATACGAAAATAGAAGAATATTTACCCAGACGGATATTCCGAAACGTTCGGCCTAGCAAACAAAGAAACGTCGGTCCGAGAACGGAGTCGGGTACCGGTGCTTCCGAAAGTGCTCCAGTCACCAGATCTATGTCCTCTACATTTCTGCAAATGAAAACAGAACGGTGCGTCAAGGTAGCTAAATTCGCGAAATACTTCGAAGCTTGTCGGCATAGCAACGATCTCGCGGACGTAACGGTTTCATTCCCACTTAAAGTCACGGTCTCGAGAGAGGCGCGAGTTCGAATATAGCGATCTAATATTACTATATCTCACCCTGTATTTCATCTTACTTGTAGACTGCTCGAAGTTTCTCGATAGTATCTTTGGTCACCATGCCTTTGAGGTCCTGAAAGTCAGTGAGATCCGGCAGATGACAGAAGCCTCGCCATCTGACGTAAGGCGGCAGACCGTGATCCCTTCCTTGCTGTATAATTTGCGCAGCGTAGTCCACGGCTACGTCGTTGGTTTTCCCGTCGTGGAAGTATCGTTCCAGGAGTATTTCGTTCAAGCCCGGAGGCAGAGGCTTCCTAGAATGTCCCGCTGTCGCGGAAATTAGATCTTGCATCCTAGATCGTCATTAAAACCAAGTTCTCATGGGAGTCAGTGGAGTCGGTGGATCGTGACGGCATCTTCGAGAATTTTTGCTAATATACGCGCACGAGGATTTCCAAGTTCTTCCTCGCTGAAAGTTCGAACCGGTTCGAGAGACAAGAAAGAGCTATCAAGACGAATGTACGGCGCCGGCCGAGAGCGGTGCTTAAATTTGCTCGGAGTTCCACGCGACTCGTCCTCTTCCACGAGCGTTATAATTTACGAAAGTTATACAATGACATTCGCGCGCGCGCTCTCCGTCTTCGGGAAAATTATGTCAGCACTTCGAAAATTCCGGGTCGTACGCTGGGGATCGTTCCGCGAAATAGCGCCGCGAGATATAAAATTTGAGAGAATAAACCGGGCTTCTCTCTTTTTCCTCCTTCCTCTCTTTTTACTTCCGACTGTTCCCAAATGATGGCCGGGACAAATGCGACGAGTACACGTTTCACGGAAATCCGATTTTTGTGTCACCCCGCTCCGCGAGACATGTACAAAAAAGTTTAATATCAACTTTTTTACGTTGACTTTCTTGAGTCACGTGCGCTCGTAAAATTTCGCAAAAAGGCGCCGCTACGGCTGCAACGTGCCTTTCACCGATGTTACATTCTTTTCCACTATGTAATTAAAAAGTTCGCGCGCGCTATTGTTCGTGCGAAGATGGAAGTATATATTCCGTGAACTTTTGTGAGATCGTGTCGAAGCTCGCGCGCAGTCCTCGCCCGCCTTCCTTCCCGTGCGAGACGACGGATTTCGATTTAAGTTATCGACGATAAGGATTTCCTCGCTAATAAAACTCCCCTCTCTCTCTCTCTCTCTCTCTGTCTCGAGGAAAGAACGCGGACTGTCATATGAGAATTTTGCTCTTTCCCCTCTCCTATAATTTATTTTCATAGAAACGTTATGCAGAACGTTTGAAGAAAAAGTGAAAGGTGGAAATATTTCAGATAAAAAGTCAAGCCAATTTGATGGAGACTGAACAGGGCGCGTGCGTGCACGCGAGATGCACGACAATGGTAATCACAGTCGTGCGGTTTACTCGAAATGACGACTTTCCCGCGTATCGTATAGAAATTGTAATGCTCCGACTGAAATGTATTTCAATATGTACGATCGAGCGGGAGAGAAAGAGAGACGCATTTCCCTTCACTCGAGAGAGACAACTTCCCCTTATCTTTTTAACGCACCGAGGGAGCGTGACAGCAGGTAATGCATTGATTTCCATCTTGGGCACAAGCGCAGCTGACTTGATTGCCGGTATTGTGCAGCCTCCCTCGAAGCGTAATTTGAGTGACATTCATCACTTGGCGCCGTGTGATCGTTGCGCAAAAGCGGAGGGGTTCGCGCGCGAGCATAAGTTGGAAAAGAATCCCGGAGTGAACGTTAGGCACATTCTAATTTAGAAATCATGACGTTATAGATGTAACGCGGAGGATGAAATCCCGGCCGTTGGATAATCGCGCGTCACGAGAACGCGCGCGTTATGAGAACGGGTAATCTCTCAGTCTCGGACCGCGAAGATTATCGCTTGATTTATGACGGATGTGCCGTCGAGCGCTTTCTCGCATCCGTTTCTTACGCTCCTCTCCATATTTCACTATTCGCGCGACATAATTTCTCCTCCCCCACCTCCTCCTCGCGCTTCGAGACAAGTTGCTTCACTCTAACGCTTGTCGAGCGACAACAAAATTCCAACTGACCTGTAGCTCCGACGATCAGCCGGTCGATCGCGCCAGCCTCGTAGAGCTCCTGCGGCGCGTAGAAGGCCGACAGTAAGGACCTTTCGCCAGACTTGTGCGCCGATCGCGAGTCCACGAGGTCGAGGGTTTTCGGGGTCAGCGCGGCGACGAAGAAGAGGCCGGCCGACGCCGCCGAATTCGCGAGCGTCGCGTCCACGCGGCTGTCGTAGCCGCGGAAGTAGCCCCGCGGTGTCAGTCGCAGGTCGAACCTTCGCAACAGAAAAGGATACAACGGGCACGGTGATTGCGTCTCTCCTCGTAGAGAGTGCGGGGGTCGATGTAATATGACGTAACTCGCTTGCGACACAGGTCTCTCGCATGTGCGCGACGAGTAATTGTATACGCGATTTGGCGCCGGTGTCGGAAGAGACAACCGAGTGAACGTGAAGTAACGGAGAGTTCGACTGGAATGTTCATACGGTGATTACGGGCAGGGTCGACGCACAAATCGATTCGGAAAAGGCCACTCGTCGGCGGCCCGAGTCGACGCTGGAAAAAACAAAACGCTCGTCGACGGCTCGACGCGCCGCATGAAAAAATTCCAAACAATAGGAAAGATAACTCGCTGTGGGAGTCGCGGGGCCCGTGCGCGCCGTTACGTAAATATGTAAAATATGGCTCGATACGCGCGCTCGCCATTGGAAACGAAGTACCGCTTTTTGTGTATACCAACACCCGTTATCTAGCTGTCTCCCATCTCGCGTACGCCGGCTGTTGCGATTGGTTCGTGTAATGATCGTGCAAGAAGCTGTGTTGAACGGCCAAATGAAGCCATCGGGATGGTAATGCCAGTTTATAATTTATCAAACAGCCGGCGTACGCGGATTGGATACGATGGACGCCGGTATGAAATTATTGCATCAAGCCGGCTGTCTGCCGGGTCTGTCGATACTAGTTTCGAGATACACCACTACGATACACGTGTTGATACACGCGGCACATCGGTATATATCGTTTCTCCATTTTTCCTCTCCCGAGCAACATTCAGACAGAAACGCCTATCGGGGGGGGGGGGGGGNGGTAAGCGCAGTTTAGGAAAACGGTACGTACTTGTCGATGGTGTTCTCCCCGAGGATGACTGGCAGAAACTCATTATAAGTTATATGCTGTAACTCGGCGATAACGATCCGTCGCGCTTCCTGATAGAGCCTCTCGTCGTCCCAATGGGGATTCAACCGTTCCAATTCCCCGGCCACTCGATTGTGCTCCCGCAAGAACAACACGTGCATCAGCGTGAGACCCGGGTTCTCGTTCACCCTGGTGTCGCCGCTGAGGAAACACGGGAACGCCTTGCTCGCGCTCCTGCAGCTCTCGTATCTCGGCGAGGCCATCGGTAGATTCTTCCGCTGTGTATTCAACAGACCACCTTTGCCCGATCGCAATGCGCTGGCTGTCTCTTCGGAGCTGCCGTAAAGCGGCGACAGGTCGAGGTAGGAGGACGCCTGGTTGATCTGCTGCCGTGAGCCCAGCTTGCAACCCTGAATCGAACGATATCTGACGTACACGCGAGTTTCCCGTACGATGAAACGCTAATTCGGATCTCTTTCTCGCGCATTATTAAACTATCCTACCTTGTGCGCGTTTCATCGTGAACTCACAGGGGAAAAAGTTCGAACTGATTCGAGACTCGATATTTTCGTACGTATAAGCAAGTCGGGCGGATCGAAGCGTGGCGAATTAAACGCTCGGAAATAAGTATGGCCAGCTAGGATTATAATATTCACTCGTTATCTTCGTGAGAGATACGCCCCGAGGAACGAATCCGACTTTCAACAGCGCGTTTCGCTGAATATCTACCATTGTTTTGACATTTTCCACGCTGCTCGTAAACACGAAGTGATCGACATCGACGTGTGCCATCGGCGAGATACCGTTACCTTTCCAACGTGACAGAGCGTAATCTCCGAATACAATTCACGGGATATATCGAGAGATCGCCGGGCCGAAGTTCTCTTGCGCAATCCGACGCGAGGGATTTCTCAAACGCGATTTGCGCAAGACTTCATTTGCGATTACCTGTAATGAATTCCCTGGATGCGGCGCCGAGCGCGCGTACTCCATGCACCCGACTGGGTTCTCCGCGCGGATCGGGAAGCACTCGGGGTGGAAATTCTCGTAGTCGACGTCGCAGCACTTGAGCCTGGTGCCGTCCGGCAATTCCATCCTGGGCGTGTGCGCGAGATCATGCGCGAGGAACTGGCTGAAAAGCGCGGTGAGCGCCATCAAGTAAGGATGCTTAAGGTCCAATCCGCCGGAATGTACCTTCGAGGAGACTTCTCTCGCGCTCGGCAGCCTCGTACGGGGCAGGGAGACGCCGTCCTCGTACTCCGGCGGCAAGTATCTCACGTAAGACTCCAGGGCGGCGCCCCAGGTCGGGTGCAGCGCGTTGTTGCACCGACCGGTGTGCGTCCTGAAACGGACGTCCGCCTTCTTGCAGTCGGACATCACCCGCAGGAAGCTGGGCGAGTCGGGGCACAGGACGGCCGCCACCGTCGGCAGCACCGAGGACGCCTGCTTCGACGACATGTTGAGCGCCTCCACGAGCATCATCGCCATCGTCTCGATCCTCAGGGCCCGCCTCGAGAGATTCTGCGCGCCCTCGGTCATCTCGTGCGAGGCGCCGAGGTACCAGGACGGCGAGCCGCGATTCAGGTGCGTCCGGGAGTTCAGGATCGCCCGTTCCGCCTGGCTGTACCGCTCCATGGAGACGTTGGTGCGCTTACCGAGATCCTGCAGCATCCTGGCCGGCAAGGTCGTAGCGCCCGCGAGTGTCGTTAGAGCGAGGAATCTGCGGATCGGGATCTAAAGATAGAAGACCCGGCGAAACGGCTACGCCCTCGAGCCGATGCGAACGCACCTCTGCCGCGACGGCGGCGTGTCGCTCATTGTTACCCAATAATTGTTATGCAGATTCAACGGCCACATTACCATCCGACTTAGCAACTACGCGATACAATCAATCATTGAAAGCGCAATTACAAGGGAACACCGCGACAGTAAGGGCAGGATCGCGCGCTCTCGCGCATCCGCATTGCAAATGAGCCGAAATGAATGTCAAACAGAAGTATCGCGGCATTTGCCCGTCGCGAACGCTTGCGAATTTAAGGTCACGTCGATTACCATCGGTCCCGATCGCATTGGGTCCGCGTGCGCAATTAGCCCTGTTTGCGGAATGTTACTTCGCCGCGTGTATCGTTCGAGAGAGCGAACTCTTTGTCTCTCTCTCTACCGTTGGCTTTCAGCTGTATTAGCAATATAGACACACGATAAGATCTTGTTAAAGTCACGTACGACGACGTAACGCTGATGCACAGCGGGTTAAGGGCAAGCACGGTTTCGCGTAATTTGCCCTACGTGACAGGGAAACTGAGACACATGATATTGAATAGATCACAAACACGTTTCGTAATTTATCGCGCGATCGCAATGAACTCCGGAGACCTTGTCTACGCGATGGCATTTCGCCTCGCTACATTGGAGGCATTATTCATGGCGGCGTTTACCGCAACAAATTCATTCATCAACTCGGGCATGCGCCTCGGGCCAATTTCTCGAGCGGGACCGTGCCATTTTTTACGATAGGCCATGAGGTCGGAGCAGATACGAGGCGACCTCATGAGGAGGTCGAATGGGGGAAGGTTGACATTTAGGATCCTTCCTGGTTCTTTTGCTTCTTGCTTTGCGTAATCTTCTTTATTCCCATGATTAGCGTTCGCGCGATTCGATGGAAACAATCGCTTCGCGGATCGATCACTCCCGAACGATTACGTGTGAACCGTTAATCCCCTTATCGACCCGGAACTTGCTTGTTGTTCGAACACGAGCATGCACTTTGCGAGCGTGAGGGAGACCCGCGCTGACTTAAAGGATCGGTAGAATCGACAGGGTAAGATTACATAATTACGTTGCGTTGGGAGCGTTATTCGCGTGATTTATCCTTTCTATGGTAATCGGCCATATGGAAATCGTTAAGTGCGTCGCTCCTCCGTACGACCGCCTCGGACCTGTCTCGCGCAATTTTTCTCACTTCGCAATTACCAAGCGATTTTTCCACAGCAATTACCTGGCGACGATCGCTATCGGATCAGATTAAAGCTGCATTAAATTCTTCCGAAACGCCGCGCGAAAATGTCACTATTCCTCCGTGTTAAATTTCTATCCGATTTCCCAGACGGGCCTTCAAATCCCCATCTGTGTACTTTTCGGTAGCATCATTTTTAACATTCGTTTCTTTTTCCTGTTTTAGGTAAAGGCGTCTTTCGTGAGTGTCTTTTCCTGTCTTAGATAAAGGCGGCAATTGAAGGATTACGGTGTGCACGACGGCGGCGGTGAGTTTGAAGTGTTTTGTTGCGTTTACACGTGATATTTTCTTGCTTCTCTCATATATAAAATCCCCATTGACATTCACAATCTTCGTCCGCGCGGCGATAATCGCCTCAAAATAACCGATTATTTTCAAATAATAGTCAGAGATCATAATCGACGAGATGTATTGTCTCACAACAAGTCGGCGGCGTACGTCTTCGCGCGAGCCGACACGGCATGCGAGGCGCTGTACAATATTATTATAATAATTATAAAGCAATTAGTTTCGTCTCGCCCACGCGACAATCGCTCGTAGATTCGTACGGAGAGCCCGGACGGACGGGTCTTACGCGCGACGTAATCGGTAACCTTTGATGAGGTAATGAGATTGAGAGAAACGTACCTGACTGCGAGTACAAATCGTTATGCCAAGACTTCAACACATTCCCATTAGGCAGTAGGTTTCATAACGTTGTCGTTTTCTCTCTGTTTACCCGCCGCCGGGACAGAATCTATGAGCTAATTATTCGATATATGCAACGACCCACGCTTAATCAACCCTCCCGATTTCGAGATGGGTGACGATCTTACGAAACACCTACTGGGAAAAGTACTCATTTATGTAAGTACATTGTTCTCGCGCGCGGCTTCATCTTTCCTATATTACGGACAGCAAGTTCCTTCTTAACAACGATCGGTTAGGATCAACGGATGTTAGATTTACCGATGGATTTTCCGACGGCCGAGGATCTCCGATTTTTCGCACACGATCTTGTTCTCGTACGTAACCACCAATCGTTCACTGGGTGGGAAGTGACACTTGTTGGGCTTCCCAAAGTGTGTATGCTTTCAATCATAGATTCTTATCTATTTATTATCCTGCACTCTCAACGGCTAATATTTGCATATTGTTTTATACATAAGAAAGATGTATGTATACATAAGGAGTTACAATTTCGTAAACGTAACGCTATCACAAATATTACCGTTGAATCGCAGACTGCGTTCTGCATATTTTTCCTTCTTTTTCTTTTTAAACGAACAACTTCAATCGCCGATCCGTCCTATTCGTCGGAATGTATACACCGGGTTTCAAAACACCTTCCGAACACGTTTCCTTCGATGCAGTTCGGCAAACAGCCGACGGACCTCCAATGAGAGAGAAGACTTAGCTTCTGGGAACCGATGAGGAACAAGTTCTCTCATCGGCCTGCGAGAAAAAGTGTTCCAAAGGCGGTTTCGAAACGCGGTAAAATCGAAAAGGCACTCACCGCGATACGAAGACAAGCGTGCCACCGGCGTCGATGCTCCCAGCGTGGAGCAACATCTTTCTCGTGCTAATGCGCGCGATATCCTCGCAACCGTAAGGATCACTCCTGTATCTTAATACGCGGTGATATTCATCTGCCCCGTGGAATTTCGCAAGAGCCGCGCGGCAGCGCTGTGCGCGAGAACGCGCAGCGGTAAACCTGAACTGAGTGCGATGCTCGAACGAACGAAAGTAAAACTCGGGAGTCCGCGGTCTACCTCGGAGTGGGGTCCCGACCAGGATCGCAGCAATCGCGGGGTATCAATGGTGCTGTGCACGGTGGTGCATCGAAGTATAACACGGTAAAAGTGCATCGGCACGGCGCGCGCCGTATCAGCGCGTTATTAACGGGACCAAGGTTCGCCTTTCCTCGGCTACGTTATTGGGAATTGCGGCCGTAGGTGCCGAAGGTTTCAAGGCCCGACGCTCCGTTCGCACCTTCGTGCATCGCGCGGCACGCGTGGATATCGCCCGCTCGCGTTGCTCCTTTGCATAACAGTAGGCACGCGTCGCCATTGCGCTATGCTAATTGTCGCGCACGGGCTCGACCGCGATGTCGTTCGCGGATTAAGATTCCTCGAGATGACACCATCTGTGATTCACTCGGACAGTCGGTCGCACGCGTCTCTTCGCATGCCACTTCCCCCCCCCCCCCCC